AGCTAAACGGACAGAACCGAGCACGAAATCTCAAAAAGTCTATTTATCACAAGAAGCAGGAACCATTGTCTTTTCGTTCTGTTTCGACGAAACGCTTCAACTTTAATTTGCTATACAGCAGACGTTAGAAGGTGAAGCCAACACAGCCAACGTTTCAACGTTTGGATTCACCGAAATTGTCTTTTCAACTGCTACTGGTGTAGAAGATGATTTCTGGTATTTGTCCATCTTCAACACTTGTTCCGTTATTATTGCCAGCTGCATATGTGAACTGGAAGGTGACGACACCTCCAGCAGCTGACTGATGTACTATGCGTCGCAGACCCTTGGTACCATAGTGCGAGTCCATGCCCTGTCAAAGGTGACAATTAGTAAACTTGCAAGAACGTTTTGGGCTACATTCACTATCGTCACAGTCAACAGAGGCGGTGCCAGAAGGCACAGGATGAGCCACCCACTGGCTTTCTCTTCCTGCGCCAATCACTGTAGCTAGAAAATGCCGTCGATGGTGGATTCATCCACCCCTCCTGACACCACACTGAGTGATTGCGACAATATCAACTATACCTTGGAGCAGTACTCATTTTATTTATGCACAGTCTATACACATTTCTGTTATACACCAAAGGTAAAGTGCTGGTACTGATAACCTAATTCTTATCTTTACCTTTTTTTGAAATTAATTTTTTTCGTTTTTTAAAGGCACACTGACTCTCAGAAGTAGATAGGTCAGCAACCGCAGACCTGTACACTGTGCTCTTCTGGCATTCGAAAAAGCGCAGAAATGAGCTAGAGACTTGTGGAAGCTTCATGTGCCTTTTTTTCTCCGCTCGATATTCAACACTCAATACGGACGCCACAACCACGACGCACAGCCAGCCGTGCCTACAGTCAAGTGTAGGCCGGTCGCGCGCTGTGGAGCTAAGGAAACCGCACGGGGGCTAACGGAGACATAAGGGCCAACAATTTACCGCAAACCTTTTCTCGTACATAATGGTGAGATGAATCTTAACATGGATATCGCCCCTGGTCGCCGGATAGGGGAGGGGTCACTGACTTGCAATTTTTTTGCGGTTCTTGATCTACCACTTTCACGCATGCTATGTACATCGTTTCGTCTATCGCAGTGGGTTAGGGGCGTATTTGTTCGTTGTTGGTTGGTAGGGATCGCATTTGGCCAGGATACGAATTTTCAAGTGCGATACTTTTTGGCTGTTGGCCTTGCCCAATTATCCCTATTTCGAGTGCAATCTCATCCCCTACCTCACCTACTGGTAGTTGAAATTAGTAGCGTATTGGTGACGATCCCCCCCCCCTCGCTCGACAGGGGTTCAGAAGAAAAACTGAAACTGGGTAAATTTAGGAAAACCGGTGGGTCATTGGAAACTTTTAGGAAGATGGTAGATAGGACGGGGAAAAGGGTTCCAGGAGAGGTGAATTCTGAGGAGGGGTGGGGGTAGGGGTACTGACTCCATTTCACCCATCACGATGTTCTACCCTGCATACTCATAGACGCGCAGTCTGGTACAACCGCAGTGTCGCACTTCTATGGAATTGCTCACCTCGTACACGTCGAGGATCACCTCTCAGGCAATCTACCTTCATATAACAATTCTCCAGAGCAAGTAAATGCTCAAAAGTAAACGCCTTACTATCCCCCTCCTCCCACCCGCCCCCAAACGAACTCAAAAGCGTTGCCCAAGTTATTCATGACTAGATAGCTCTTCTCTGTTATGAAACTGCAGGTACAAAATAGATAAATATGCTCTAATAATGCTAACCTTCAAAGCAGGCACTTGCAATGTAGGTGACTCCAGGTGTTATTTCAACAGGGACTCGGAACGATACTCGGCAGGTCGATGAAGAACCATCACACACAAATGACGTATCGTTTTGTGCCAGCACTTTTCCAGTACCGCAGTGAATAATCTGAAAAATGTCACTAGTACTTAAGCACAACAAGCAAACTCAGAACCTCAAAGCTCCTAAAAGGAGAACAGGAAAGTGCCCACTAAATTTTGATTTCCAAATCGTGGGGAAAGCTTACCTGAATCACGCACTGGTATTCATGAGGGCCATGTATGGCACCGTATAGGCCGAAACCAACAACGAAGATTTTTCTGTCGACAGTGAACCTGAAGAGAACGACGTTGCACGACGCTGCATTTCAATCGGACAAAATTATTTGCAAAAAAAGTTTTACGAAGTACGGACTTGATTCTGTCTGGTGTGCCGCTGTAACCCCATCGACCTTCAATGCGTTGGAAACGACTGACCACCAATTCCTTACCAGCGCCCGAACATCGTGGGCTAAAAATTGAAACAGAGTAAGGCACGGAATGGAACCAGAGACGGATCTGTAACAGTTATGAGACCGATTCTATGTGTGAGCGCGTTCATACTTCGTGACAAGTTACTCGACACTGGAGCTTCATGAACCCTTCACGAGGATTCAAAAGAATATTTTTCGTGAAATGATGGAAGCCTTCGCGTCCACTAGGACCTTATTAGGTTTGGTAAGAATCAAGCATGTAGATCAAACTCACTTGTCGTTAAATCCTATTGATGGTTTTGGATTCACGGTGAAGTAAAGGAACAAGTTAACAACCTCACGATCGGTTAGTAGTCCGGACTGAGCTGAAACTGGGACCTTATCGGGAATATAATATACGTTTAACTCTGGAACAATTTGATGTAGTTATTGATGTTAAAAAAATGTGATCTATTCCCGATATGTCAAATCCACAAGGCGCAGAGCGGGTGAGCCTCGTCATACGTTGTGGACGAGCTAGCCAAAAGACAGGGGAATAGAGGACGCGTAACGTGACAATTCAATGAGACGATCGACCATCCGAACGGTTTAATACATTAATTTCATAAGGCGGATTCGCAACTTAGCAGTTAGTTGTATTGAAGGATAAAGGATCGAGCCCCCGCCGTTGAGCAATCCCTTTTTGGAAACGGCGCGCACTCTGCTTTCATTCAGAATGTTGCCTCTTGAATGGGCGACTGTGGCCCTATTACAAATTAGCTTGGCAGGGGCCAGCCGGTGTACAAGTCGCTTTTTATCCTCCTAGCACGAACTGCGTACAATTTGCAGTCACCGGAGCAAATAGACGGCTTTGGTTGCTTTCCTTGCGCGGAGGGAGGCCGCATTCGGGATTCCTGAACTGGGCAGCTCTGCTAGCGCTACCAAGCACTTGAAGATTGGTTTGAAAATCAGCTCCCTTAAAAGTGGCACTGGCAAGGCCTCAAAAGTGGCAATTATAATTGCAAATCCTTACAAATACGAGAGTATCCCACCTGCTGATTGTGCAAATTCTTCTACTGTCATTAAGGGAAAGCGGATCAATTGCACAGCACGTCCCAGCACAGGCTTTGTCGCATCTTTCTGTGGTTGGCCTTCCGCAGTCCACGACGAGCACATCCTCTGCCACCGCTTGCTCAGCGAATCCAGCAGCCTGGATCATATGTTCATAAGAAAAAGCACGTGCAACGTCATATGACAAGGGTTTTGAGAAAACTTTCACTCTGGAATGAGCTCGAGCTTCCTTGACGGCCTCCCACGAGCTATCTCTCGGCGAGAAGCAGACATACGCGCTTCCAGGTCAATGTCAGTGACTCGGAAACAAGAGTTTCCGAGGTCTTCCCTCGTAAACTATTACACCAAATTTCTGGGACTATTTAGCTAACAGCCACGCATATTAGGCGACTCCTTCCGCATGTCGACGCAGGTAGATCGATGTGTCACTGACGTGCAGCATTGATAAAGGTAACTGACGGTGTTTTCCTGACCTGTCTGCTCGACATCACGGCACATTCGTTCGCAGCAGGTGCGGCGATATCCCGCAGTCCGGCGGGGGCGGGCCGTATTTCGGCCTCGCTGCGAGGGGGCGCACCATTTCGTCGTGCGGCAACGAAAAGTTCTCCCGGTGGCTGACTTTTCGCTGTTTCTCCTGTCTCACCAGTGCTACTCCCTCCACCTAAGGCTTGACAAAGAGAGGTAGGAAGATGGAAAAAAGACCAATGACTACGGAGATATTTGGTCGGATAGTCACAAAATCGTTTCGACCCTTTCAGGCTTTCGCCGAAACGTGCCTGAGCCGAATAAAGTGATATATCAACCTCGCGAGAGTTTCTACAGAAGAAAATCTACCGTACTACAACTATACCGAGGTTTATTGAGAGCCGTACATGGCGAAAAAGCCAATAAAATGGTAGGCAGGATGGGAAGGGGGTGGTACCAGAGGATGAAGTAGGGGAGGCAGTTATTTGCAAGAATTCTCCCCAGCGACAGTACTGACCCCACAATGAAACAAAACTGCTTCCCTCGTCATTAGCCTTCAGTGCGACACATCATCTATTAACCCTTGATAGGCAAAAGTACCGTGCTACTCCTGCGCCCAAACTTCAAGCACCTTCGCCATTCAACGCTTCCGCCGTGTTTTTATCAATGATTTCCAAGCATAACTTCGCGAGTTGCGGTTCGTCAAATAGTCGAGCCTGCAAAACCGTTGCTGTACCGTAGTTTACAGATGACCCAACTGGTTCCGGCCAGATCCGTACCTGTGTTAGCAGCATGAATGCATTATCAGCTCCAAGACTTTGCTTCAAAAATTCAACACATGCAGTCTCCATCGCGGGCACAGCGTATTTCTTTGCTAGAGAACAGCATTTTGTCAATTTCAATATAACCTATGAATAAAAGAAGACTTAATCGAATAAAAAAACCTGTATATAATGTAGTCATAACACTTTCTGGTCCTATTTCAACTTCATCAGAATACAGAAATCGTAAGAGGGCACGGAACGCAGGAACTTCAACATCGGGCAGTTCAATCTCCAATGGGTCTGAAAAGCAGTGCCGTTAATTACCGGAGGAAACGTTCATTGGCAACACGAATCCGTTTGGGAACCCAAATTTTAAAAATCCAAAGACTGCTCAACAACCTCTGGAGTTTTGTGGAGTGAGACCACCATTGAACATTGCATCAAAGACAACAGAGCCGATTGATAGAACAAACTTATGAGCAGGTATTCGCTGAAATATTGCCAAACAATCCTACTTCAGGATAATTAAGCCGCCAAGTGATCGGAAAGCCGTCTTCGCAAAGCCCTTAGGCTTCGTTCATACTTTGCTTAGCATTTTGAGCGTACGGCAGCGTCAACAGCGACTGCCCGCGAACGCTCAAAACAATGCTGTAAGCCCAAAACACCGACGTGAAGTATGAACGCATTCTTACCTGTCTCATGTCGTCTTTTCCAACCGTGAAGTATACATCGGCGAGAACGTCTTTACAATACATGTAGCTTATTCTTTCCTTCAGTGTAGTCTTGGCACCCTGCCATCCAAGTGGATTGTCGTCCACGGCGTTCGCAGCACGGCGTGACATTCCTTGAAATATTTTATGTTATGTCATGTTTATTACGCTGCATAAGGCAAAATATTTAATAATGCATTTTTAGAATATTTTTAAAATCACATTCTGAGCGAAAAACCAAAAAAGTCCATATGGGGCAGAAACTTTGTCTAATAAGCTCACCTCCTAAACTTCTGGAACTTCTCGGCTCTGGTACAGGACTTGAACGTCTTCCCGCTACGACTAGGTTATTCGCAGGATGTTCAAGATGATTGTGGCTAACTAAACACGTACCATGTAGCCACTTCACAAGGAAAACTCAGAAAAAAGAAGACCAGATCAGCAGACGAATCTCCAACAA